ACGCTTGTGGCACCGGCACATAGACCAGCTTAGGCGCAGGGTTGGGGACTTGGACACTATCGTGGTGCCCCCAACTGCGCTTGTGGCTCCAGAAGAGACATTTACAGATGGTGAGGCTTCACCTATACCTCCCTCGCAAACTGCCAGCGTGGAGCCGAACCAAGCCTCTTCAGAGGGTCTGCCAGACTTACCACAGACTCAGACCACTCCACTTGCGGAGGCTCCACCCACAGCAGCGAATCCAGGGGATTTGGTTTCAACGCCACCTAGGGTTGCACCACAGCCTCAGCAAGAATTGTGTGGCCCCCCGGACTTGGCTACCAGTCCCCGGCGGTCTGGCAGAGTTTCCCAGCGCCCAACTTATTTAAAGCACTATGTTGTTGGAGATGTATCAATGTTGGTCTAAGTATGGGAAATGTAACCGATATGCTTTTGTGCCTAATTGAACCATTACGTGTAGTGCTGTATATAAGGAAACCATTACGATTGTAACTAACGCCTTATCTCGGTGGGGAGGGGTGTTATGTACTAAAGTTCTCACCCTGGGCCAGCAGGGGGATAGTGTAGATAGTTTTCACTCAGGTCCACGTCAGTTATTTCAGGCGGGAAACCCTGGGTTGTTGTTGCTACAATGTTGATAGCCGGCTGCCTATAAAAGCAGGCCGGCTGAGCTGTTTGCTGTTCAGTTCTGTCCAGCTTCAATAAAGAGCTTCTCTGGAGAAATCACTGTGTCATCTGCTATGTTCGCCCACAACTTAACACCCGCATTGCAGGGGGTTGGACTAGATGACCCTCGGGTCCCTTCCAAGTCTGTGATTCTGCAAGGATCTGTGCAGCTGAAGAGTTAAACCCACAGAGCTGCAATGGCTAGAGTTGCACGAGGGAGGGAGGCGGGCTTGTGAAAGCCAGGAAGGGTTTTTCCTCCCTGGTTAGGGGGTGGGCCTTGGTTTTGAATTTCTTTTGCAGCTGGCATAAAAGGAGGAGGAAAGAAGGAGAGGAGAAGACAGGAGGACAGTGTGCTAGACTGGGGCATGGAGGCGGAGAGGCAGGGAATTGCTGGAGGAGAAAAAAAGACTTTCTTCTGCAATCGCTCTGCCTCCTCTGGGTAGCAGCCGGGGGTCTCTCTGCTGCTGATTTCCCCGTTCCAGAAGAAGCAAACTCTTTGAGCAAGCTGGGTCAAAGGGTACGTGGACAGCGCTTTTCTATGGGGTACTGGGGAGGGGCGGTAGGGCAGGGGGTCGGCATGGGGCAGGGACCCTCCTAAATCGAGGGGGGCCTGCCTGCTTGAGCCTCCTGCAAATCCTGGGCGATGGGGGGGCTTCTGCAGAGCATTGGAGACCAAAGCGTATAGCAGCGCATCCTTAACCTCTGGAACTCCCCTCCACAGTAGATAATATTAATAATAATAATAATAATAATAATAATAATAATAATAATAATAATTTATCCCCCACCCTCCCCAGCCAAGACCGGGCTCACGGCAGCTAACACCCAATATAAAATCAAATTGATTGAAATACAACTTAAAAACAAGATTAAAATACAACATTAAAATATTAAAATACAGCCTCATTTCAATGGAAACTCAAATCAAAAACTTTTGGGGGATGAAAGCGTCAAGTCTTCACGAAGGCTAACTTTCCAATGCTCGTCCCCAACACAGACAGCTTTGAAAAGAGGATCAGACTCATTCGTTTGGTCTGAACGGGAAAGGGATCTGCTTATACTTTATTTAAAAAGCGGGACACTTCTCTTGCGGAATCAGCCTCAGATCTGAGGCCGCGTACTGTGCGGTAGCCTCAAAACTATAGCTCTTGATTTAACACCTATGTTTCTTGTCTTTCCTTCTAGGGAGAAGCTCCTCGCGCCGGTTTTGGGACCGCCAATATCTCCTCCTCTTCCGTCCTAGTTCCCTGCTGAACATTTTGATCCTCGGAAATCATCCCTGTGGAGATCAGGAAGGGATGAAAATGGAGGAGCAAGAATCGGCAGCCGAGAGGTCGCAGGGGGCAGGGAAAGCCCCCCAGCTCGTCCCGGCCACAAGTATCGGGGAGTCTCTGTGTCGGACAGTTGCGCAGCCAAAGGTCGAGGAGGAACCTGGCAAAGGTCTTCTCTGGGAGGCCCAGTGGCAGGAGTTCCTGAAGACGATGGAGTCTCCTCTGCCCGGATCGGGCGCCCCATATCTGCACGGCGAGGTGGCCCCATGGGACGATGCCAAGGGCTTTCTGGCCTCCTTCGAGCGGGTGGCCGAGGCCTGCCAGTGGCCCAAGGGAGAGTGGGTGGCCAGGCTGCTGCCAGCCCTCCGAGGAGGGGCCGAGCGGGCCTTTGGCAGCCTGGAGGCCAGCGACAGAGAGGATTATGGGAAAGTGAAGGCGGCCATCTTGCGCGGGGACACCACCACTCAGGAGAAGCAGCGGCAGCACTTCCGCCACTTCTGCTACCAGGAGGCCGAGGGGCCGAGAGAGGCCTATGGCCGCCTCCAGGAGCTCTGCCGTGGGTGGTTAAAAGTGGACCGGCATACCAAGGAGCAGATCCTGGAGCTGCTGATCCTGGAGCAGTTCCTGGCTATTCTGCCGCCCGAGGTCCAGGGCTGGGTCAGGGAGGCTGGGCCCGAGAGCTGCTCCCAGGCAGTGGCCCTGGCCGAGGAATGCCTCCAGGCGCAACGGGAAGCTGAGGGGCAGGAGCAGCCGGTGAGGCGGTGGCGCAGCGCCGCTCACATGCACCTTGGGGCTGTGTTGCCGGGGGGCTCCCGTGGGTCTGATCCTGCCACTCCCTGGGTTGTTAACCAAGAGAGCGAAACCTGTCCGTTTCATGCTGCTTAAGGAGTGGAAGTCCGATTCCATGCCCCTAGCTCACTCAGTGAAACACTTAATCTCAGGGTTGCGGGTTCAAGTCCCATTTTGGGGCAAAGGATTCCTGCGTTGCAAGGGGTTGGACTAGATGACCCTTGGGATCCCTTCCAACTCTATGATTCCTGTGCTCTTCTAGGCATACTCCCCAAGAATCCCTTTTCTCTAATGACAGTTCTGGAATTATGAAAGCCATCCCAGGTTCTGATTTGACCCCGGAGTGTCCCTAATTCTGCTGCCAGTGCTGAGATCGGGGAATAGTATGAGCCGGCACTTGTCCCAAGCGATGGTGGCTGCGAGAGGGCATCCTGTTGCCTCTCCATGGCCTTTCCACGGCCGCTGCTACCAGCCTCCTCCCTTGGGCAGCTGCTAGTGGCTGCTGGATAGCGGGTGAGGAGGAGAGGCCACCACCATCGAGGCCCTGTTTGGCGCACCAGCTCTGAGGGGCAGGCAGAGGACAAGGCCGCGCTGGGAAAGAAGAAAGGGGGAGTGGAGCAGAGCACAAGGAATCTTGACTTTGTACAGTGGAACCTCAGTTTTCGAGAGAATCAGATGCTGAATGATTCAGAACCTGAATGCCAAAAACTCGAAAGCAATTGTTTTCGTTTTTGAACACGCCTCAGAAGTCCAACGGCTTCCGAGTCACATTTCTCCATTTTTTCAAGGGATTTTACCGACCACCCATTGCGCCTTGGTTGTTGAACGTTTCGGAAGTCAAACGGTCTTCAAGAACGGATTACCGTATTTTTCGCTCTATAGGACGCACTTCAAAAATGAAGGGGAAATGTGTGTGCGTCCTATGGAGCGAAGACGCCATAGCCCCGCGACCCTCTCCTGGCTGGAGAGGTGACGCGCGGCTATGGCAGGAGCCTCTCCGCTGCTCCCCGACCTGCTCTTTGGGGCTGGTGGTGGGCTTCCCCCCGCCAGCCCCAAAGAGCAGGTCGAAAGGAACCTGAAGCCTGGAGAGCGAGAGGGGTCAGTGCACACCGACCCCTCTCGCTCTCCAGGCTTCCAAGGTAGCCCTGAACGCACCTTAAATGGCACCTTGTTTTAGAGCGGGAAAACAAGAGGGGGAAAGTTCTCCCCTCTCTGTGCAGCGCCTCCTGCCACTTCACTGAAGGGGCGCTGGGCAGAGGGGGAGAATTTTTTTTTCTTGTTCTCCCCCCTCTAAAACAAAGTGCGTCCTATTGTCCGGTGCGTCCTATGGTGCGAAAAATACGGTACATTCAGAAACTGAGGTTCCGCTGCATTTGAAAAAAAGCAATTTGTGCGTCCGCATCTAATCTTGCCCATTCCTAAAATGTATTCATTGGCGTGTGCTTCTATTTTTTGTCAATCAACCAAAAAATAAAATAAAATAAAGCCGGGATTAAGGGTTTTTCTCAGGAGGGCGTTTGTGCTGCATCCCATTGTTGTGGTTGTGGTGAAAATGCTCTGCCGGGATGGGTTGGGGAACAAAAATGGGGGTTGAGGAGGGTCATTTGAGTGGGGAGAGAGAAAAGCCCCTCTTTTCATCTAAGGAACGTTGGAGGGTATGGCTGGGTGATGGCTTCAGCGTGGGGTTTGAGGGAGGCTCTGGGTTTTCCCCCCAGGCCTCTCCCTCCTTGCCCTGTTGCTCTGTCCTGACGTGGTTCCTTCCTGATGTTGCAGGTGGGATTTGAGGAGGCCGCCGCAGATGTCTCTGAGGAAGGCCGGGTGCCGTCCGATGTCAAACAGAGGCCCCTATACGTGGAGGCCAAGCAGGAAGATGCAAGCGAGGCCCAACTGGCAGGTAAGTAGGGCCAGATTTAGAGTTGTGCCCCTGGATCATGCACCTTCATTGTATTGTTCCCGTCACATGCTGAAGACACAACCACTTTGACTTAGCGTGTGCAGAGGAGGGCAACTAGGATGATCTAGAAGCTAAGCCTTATGAGGAACGGTTGAAGGAGCTGGGTATGTTTAGCCTGGAAAAGAGGAGAATGAGATTTTTGTACAATATGGTAGCCATCTTTAAAGATCTGAAGGGCTGACACACAGAGGATGGAGCAAGCTTGTTTCCTCCTGCTCTGGAAGGTAGGATTCGAACAAATGGCTTCAAGTTGCAAAAAAGGAGTTGGATGGACAACTGCCATGGATGCTTTAGCTGAGATTCCTGCATTGCAGGGGATTAGACTAGATGACCGTGGGGTCCCTTATAACTCTATGATTCTGTGATCTGAGAGACACGTTTTTCAGGTCACAGCCGATCGCTGTGACTGTAAATTGTTTTGAATTGCTTTTAGCATTGATTTTTTTTCAATTTACCGTATTTTTCGCCCTATAGGACGCACCGCCCCATAGGACGCACCCAGTTTTTATGGGGGGGGAATAAAGAAAAAAATTATTTTCCCCCCCCAGGTGTGGGGCTGGGGCGGGGGAAGCTTGGGCTTCCCCCGACCCCAGCCCCCAGAACAGGCAGATATCTGCAAGCCTAGGGAGCCCGGCGGGAACTCCCGCCAGGCTCCCCAGGCTTGCGGATATCTGCCCGAAGCCCGGGGCACGCTCCGCTGCGCTCCCCGGGTTTCGGACTGCAAGCTGCTGTCCGCAAGCCTTGGGAGCCCGGCGGGAACTTCCGCGGGCTCCCAAGGCTTGCGGATAGCTTCCTGAAGCCTGGAGAGCGAGAGGGGTCAGTGCGCACCAACCCCTCTCGCTCTCCAGGCTTCAGCGAAAGCCTGCATTCACCCCATAGGACGCACACACATTTCTCCTTCATTTTTGGAGGGGGAAAAAGTGCGTCCTATAGGGCGAAAAATACGGTATTTATTACGGTCCAGAGACCCAACAAATCGCAACAAAGCGATGCACAATTCAGACAGCCTACCTCCAGGTTAAACAAGCATTTTGTTCAGACTTAAAGATAGGGATCATTGGTTCTTGCAACCGCCGATAAAAACTTCGCCACTACTAATGTTCTAGCATTTGTCCGGTCTTCCAATAGGAACCTGACATAGTGAGACTCTGATTTTCTCGGAAAAGGTACCAGCAAGAGTAATATCAGTTCAGCCCTGGCTTGCTCGTGTTTCGCACAGTGCAGCAAAATATGTTTTATGGAATCGATGTCTTGAGCACACGAGCAAAGTCCTGTCCTGGTAGGGAACTCCTCTCAACCTGCCATCCAACACTGCAGAAGGAAAGACGTTTAGTCTGGCTTTGGTGAATAACCTTCGATAATTTGGTTCTGAATTTTAAATTTCTGTAGTCCACTGAGGGACGTTAGGGCGAAGAAATCAAATAAAGAGAAGTAAGCGAAATAACCTTCTTTTTCTCATTTATTCAGCAGGTAAAAGGTGGGTGGGCATACCTGAGGGAGAGAGATACACACCTGGAGATGGTGACGGGTTTTCCGGAGGGAGAGCAGAGGAGGAGAACTTTTCCTCGTGTAGTGAACAAGAAAATGCCCCTGAGAGTCATGAATGGCGAAGTCAAGGCCATGAAGCAGAAGGAACACTCGAGTCTAGTTCCTGCGAGGGTGATGGCAAGGACTTCAGCGAAACCATGGAGCAGAAGAAAGTCTGCGCTGGCAAGAGGCAAAACACATTTCGTGGGAAAAGCTTCGGCCAAAGTCCAGGCCTCCTAGTCAACCAAAGAGCCCGTGTAGGAGGAAAACCGCAGAACAAATGTTTGATTTGCGGGAAGTCCTTCCTTTACAGCTCCGACCTCGTCATCCACCACGGAATCCACACCGGCGAGCGGCCCTACGAATGTCCCGACTGCGACAAGAGATTCAGCCGAGGCTCCGACCGCAACCGCCACCAGAGGATCCACACGCAGGAAAAACTGTACAAGTGCCTGGCCTGCGGGAAATGCTTCCTCTATAGCTCGGACCTCGTCATTCATCAGAGAATCCACACCGGGGAAAGGCCCTACGAGTGCCTGGACTGCGGGAAAAGATTCAGTTGCAGCTCGGACCGCAACCACCACCAAAGGATCCACACCGGGGAGAAACCGTACGACTGCATGGACTGTGGGAAAAGGTTCAGTCAGAACGTTCACCTCAAGAGGCACCGAAGGACCCATGTGGGAGAGAAATCGTACCAGCGCCCAGAATACGGGGAAAGTCTGAGCGTGAGCTGAGGAATGAAAACCATGTTCCCGGTTACTATGATGTAGTTCAGTGTTTTCAACCACTGTTCCCGCGGCACACTAGTGTGCCGCGAGATGTTGCCTGGTGTGCCGTGGGAAAAATTGAAAAATTCGAAAGATTTTAAAAATAAAGTATTTTATAATTTTTCATATTTCTGTTTACTTACTATTTCATAATAAAGTAATTATAAACTACTTTCTTTGTGTTCATTTGATTCCTATTCAAGAGAATTACTTTATATACAGTCAATATAGGCACAGAGTTAATTTTTTTAAACATTTTCTAATGGTGGTGTGCCGCGTGATTTTTTTCATGAAACAAGTGTGCCTTTGCCCAAAAAAGATTGAAAAACACTGATGTAGTTTGTGGATCTCAGCCAAGGTAGTTATGATGTCACGTGTTTCCGTTCTGTTTTTTAAACTTTGTTTCCTGTTTTCAAGTTCCTCCCCCCCCCAATTTTTTTATTCATTTTATAACACAAATAAACAATACAAACAGAAATACAAACAATACAAATTCTTGTCTTATCCACATTTTTTCTAAACATTAGGTGAGCTTCCCCAAGTCCCCCCCTATCTGATTTTCATTTTACCTCATCTTTAGCAGTTTCATATATCATAATGATGTTCTAGGAAACTAAAAAAACCCCAAGAGTTCAGTTTTGAAATAGGTGGTTAAAACCAGCACAGTTTTGAAAGGTGCAGCCTGCCATCTTGATTCAAAATGGTGCCCACTTGTGTCCAAACGTAATAAAAAACAACAACAACTGCTGCTTGATCTCAGGACCCACCTGGCGGACTATAAGTTGAGGTGACAGGGGTGCAAATGAGGCTGTAGGTTTCTCTTCTGAGGGGGGATGTTTGTGTGAGAGTCACCCAGACTTCGGTAACAAATTTGGATAATAAAAAGTCTGAACTGCACGGGAGAGCTTTGCATTTGATTGACATCTTGGTAAGGAACAGATAATCGCCAGTGCTCTCTCTTCCTGTGGTTTCCAGCAATGGGCATTCAGGGGCAACAATGGATGGAAAACATCACCATCGTAGCTGTCTAGTAGCTGTCATCAACCATATCCTTTCCAAATTCTCATTGGGTGGTTAAAAAAAGACCCTCAGAGCTGATTACTAATCACAAAAAGTCCCTGCCCTCAGAGTCACAATCTGGAAAGACACGACACAAAAGGAAAATGGATTGGGAGGGAGGAGGAAATAAAAATATATCCGGGGTACAAGTTCATAGTTCAAAGTTGTCCTGACCAGCTAGGGTAGGAAAGCTTAAGGAGAGAAGGCACCAAAATGTGGGTCTCAGCTGTGCCAATGTGGGGGCCTTGCACCACTTCTCTTACTTTTTCTGCTCCCCACAGGCAGCATTTGATGGAGGAAGGAGCAGATTGTGGCCCTATATCTCTCCAAAGGGTCGACTGCAATTCTTGGCATACCTGACCATTGGCTATGCTGCCAGGGGCTGATGAGTCCAAGAGAGATTGAATGTCACAGGCTCCTTGCTTATGATTTAAATCCAATAATAGCATCTTTGTACCCAATGGTCCTTGGGGGTTCTAGGAAACTAAAAAAAACAACAGTTCCGTTTTGAAACAGGCGGTTAAAACCAGCACAGTTTTGAAAGGTGCAGCCTGCCATCTTGATTCAAAATGGTGTCCAATTGTGTCCAAACATAGTAAAAAAAAAACTGTTGCTTGATCTCAGGACCCACCATGCACAAGTTGGTTAAAAATCACAGTTTTGAAAGGTTCAGCCTGCCATCTTGATTCAAAATGGCATCTTAGTTGAATCCTTGCTCCTTGACCTCAGGAACCATCGTGCCAGATTTGGTCTTCATATCCGGAGATGATGATTATTTATATTTTATCATCGTTATTACGACTACTAACGCCCCACCGCGGTCTTCTCCTCATGGGATAGTTCAAAACACAGAAGAAATGTAAATTAGTTTAAAAACAGATAGAAAAGTGAATGTATGTATTATTATTATTATTATTATTATTATTATTATAGTTATACCCTGCCTATCTGGCTGGGTTGCCCCAGCCACTCTGTATAGCTTCCAACACATATAAAAACGCAATAAAATGTCAAACATTGAAAAGCTTCCTGATACAGGACTGCCTTCAGGTGTCTTCTAAAAGTTGTGTAGTTATTTATCTCACTGACATCTGATGGGAGGGTAGTGATCCAGCTGAGAGCAATGGAAAAAATGGCACAGAGATCAAGGCCGTTATTTTGGTCAAAGGATTAGAGCAGCAACGAATTCTTTGGCAGTTTGACAGTTGGAGACCTTTGAAAATTATTCTGTGAACCGCCCTGCAGGTATAGGGTGGTATAATAATAATAATAATACATATTGTGTCCGACACGTTGTTGTTTAGTCATTTAGTCGTGTCCGACTCTTCGTGAGCCCACGGACCAGAGCACGCCAGGCACTCCTGTCTTCCACTGCCTCCCGCAGTTTGGTCAAACTCATGCTGGTAGCTTCGAGAACACTGTCCCACCATCTCATCCTCTGTCGTACCCTTCTCCTTGTGCCCTCCCTCTTTCCCAACATCAGGGTCTTTTCCAGGGAGTCTTCTCTTCTCATGAGGTGGCCAAAGTCTTGGAGCCTCAGCTTCAGGATCTGTCCTTCCAGTGAGCACTCAGGGCTGATTTCCTTCAGAATGGAGAGGTTGGATCTTCTTGCAGTCCATGGGACTCTCAAGAGTCTCCTCCAGCACCATAATTCAAAAGCATCAATTCTTCGGGGAAGCTATGGTTTTCCCAGTAGTGATGTATGGAAGTGAGAGCTGGACCATACAGAAGGCTGATTGCCAAAGAATTGATGCTTTTGAATTATGGTGCTGGAGGAGACTCTTGTTGGGAAAGATTGAGGGCACAAGCAGGCCAGGACGACAGAGGATGAGATGGTTGGACAGTGTTCTGGAAGACAGGAGTGTCTGGCGTGCTCTGAAGAGTCGGACACGACTAAACCACTCAATGACAACAATCTGCGCCCAGGGAAAGGGTGGCAACCACAGAGCCCGCTCGTCCTAGAAGGGAGCATCTCTCTTCTCGCAGTGTTTTTCCCCGTCCCGGAAACGGGTCTCTTTTGAATGCACTTTTTCCCCGGGAGCTGGTGCAACTTGGCAGGGCGATCCGGGTTGGGGGTTTTTTTTGGAGAGGGAGGAGGATCTTGGGTAAGTGGCAAGGGCGCACTTTGCACGCGCGCAGAGGCTGGGGAATCCCTGCCTGGAAGGGGAGGGTGGAAGGAGGGAGAGGACGCCTGCCCTGGGCTCTAAATGCAAACACAGGCTTCTTTCTGTGTTGCTTTTTGCAAAAATGATGGGCAAGGCATTGGTTTTTGCGGGGCAGAGAGAAAGAGATTTCTGCACGAAGCGGTTCTGCATTATGGTTGCTGATGCTGAAGCTGCCTGATCCGGAGTCAGTCCGGAGTTGGTTGCCCCTGCAGTCCCAAGGTCATAGGATCGTAGGGACCCAAGGGGTCATTATTCCAACCCCCCGGGGCAACACAATAATCACAGCTGTAGCACCCCTGACCCATGGCCACCCAGCATCTTTTTTAAAGTCTCCATAGAATCCTAGAGTTGGAAGAGACCCCAAGGGCCATCGAGTCCAACCCCCTGCCAAGCAGGAAACACCATCAGAGCACTCCTGACATATGGTTGTCAAGCCTCTGCTTAAAGACCTCCAAAGGAGGAGACTCCACCACACTCCTTGGCAGCAAATTCCATTGTCGAACAGCTCTTACTGTCAGGAAGTTCTTCCTAATGTTTAGGTGGAATCTTCTTTCTTGTAGTTTGGATCCATTGCTCCGTGTCCGCTTCTCTGGAGCAGCAGAAAACAACCTTTCTCCCTCCTCTATGTGACATCCTTTTATAGATTTGAACATGGCTATCATATCACCCCTTAACCTCCTCTTCTCCAGGCTAAACATGCCCAGCTCCCTTAGCCGTTCCTCATAAGGCATCGTTTCCAGGCCTTTGACCATTTTGGTTGCCCTCCTCTGGACACGTTCCAGTTTGTCAGTGTCCTTCTTGAACTGTGGTGCCCAGAACTGGACACAGTACTCCAGGTGAGGTCTGACCAGAGCAGAATACAGTGGCACTATTACTTCCCTTGATCTAGATGCTATACTCCTATTGATGTGGCCCAGAATTGCATTGGCTTTTTTAGCTGCCGCGTCACACTGTTGGCTCATGTCAAGTTTGTGGTCAACCAAGACTCCTAGATCCTTTTCACATGTACTGCTCTCAAGCCAGGTGTCGCCCATCTTGTATTTGTGCCTCTCATTTTTTTTGCTCCAATGAAGTGGAGTCCACCATCTTCCGAGGGAGACTGTTCCATGAGGTTCTTTCAAATATTTAGCCAGAACATCTTCCCCCGCCCTCCTCCAATGCAATCAATAAAAGCAAGTCTCCGCAAAGGGGAAGGGACCAAGAGTGAGCGGGGATAGCAAACCCAGGTGCCAATTCATTTAAAAAGTTACTTTTCGTAATGACCAGCTGGCCCAGTTCAGTGCCTGATGGCGTTGGGCAGAGCCCAAAGGACTCTTTTTCACATCTCATACACAGTGGTACCTTGGGTTTAAAAACTTAATTCGTTCCGGAGGTCCGTTCTTAACCTGAAACTGTTCTTAACCACTTTAGTTAAAGGAGCCTCCTGCTGCTGCTGCGCGATTTCTGTTCTCATCCTGAAGCAAAGTTCTTAACCTGAGGTACTATTTCTGGGTTAGCAGAGTCTGTAACCTGAAGTGTCTGTAACCCAAGGTACCACTGTATTTCCTGATTTTAACACAGTTCTTTCGTTGTGTGTTTCAGCTGGGCGTTCGCTGCTGCCTAACCCGCTTCGGAGTCTGATTTGACGCTGAGCATCAGACGGATGGTTAACGGAGGCTCTTAATAGGCTTTGCCAGGCTGGACCACCGAGGGAGGAAGCCCTGGAGTTGAACCTCTGCCACCCACGGCCGGCATCTGGGAGCTCCGGGAGAGATAGGGAGAGAGGAGATGGACGCAGGTCAAAGGAAGAACGAGCCAGATGACGTGGTCCAGGCTGCACTCAAGCAGTGGCCGCTCGTGGGTCTGAAAACGGAAGACCAAGACCATGGTGGTCCTACGACGAGGGAGGAATTTGTTGAAGGAGGAAGAGACCTTTGTGCTTTCCGGACTGGGAGGATGGGGGACATTGAATCCAGGGTACCAGGAGAGAAGGTGAAGCAGGAGTCGGGCGCAGGGCTGCTTCAGCACTGGGAATCCCAGTGGCAGGAGTTCCTGAAGATGGTGGAGTCCCACCACACGCACTGGGAGATCCCACCAGAAGAGCCTACCCCCTGGGAGGATGCCAAGGGCTTTCTGGCCTCCTTCGAGCAAGTGGCCAAAGCCTGTCGGTGGCCCCAGGAGGAGTGGGCGGCCCGGCTCCTGCCAGCACTCAGTGGAGAAGCGGAGCAGGCCTTCGGCAGCTTGGAAGCTGGGGACAGAGAGGATTATGGGAAAGTGAAGGCGGCCATCTTGCGCCGGGATGCCCTGGCCCGGGAGCGGTGGTGCCACCGCTTCCGGCATTTCTGCTACCAGGAGGCCGAGGGGCCAAGAGGGGCCTACAGCCGCCTGCAAGACGTCTGCCACCGGTGGCTCAAAGTGAAGAGGAACAGCAAGGAGCAGATTCTGGAGCTGCTAATTCTGGAGCAGCTTCTGGCCGTCTTGCCGCCCGAGGTCCAGGGATGGGTGAGGGAGGTTGGGCCCGAAACGTGCTCCCAGGCGGTAGCTCTGGCGGAGGAGTTCTTGCTGAGGCAGCGAGAGGCTGAGAGGCCGCAGAAACAGGTGAGGCTGCTGTGGCGGAGAGCTTTGAGGGCCAGAGCGACAAAATGTGGGGTGAGGAAGGGGAACTGTTGCAAGGCATCCTGGGACCAGGCCTGCCTGTATCTCGATGGTGTCCACATAGCAACATAGGGTGGTATTTGACAATGGTATACTCAGAAAGCTCAGTGGATTAGAGCGTGGTGCTGATAACGCCAAGGTTGCAGGTTCGATCCCTGCATATATATTTTTTACAAATTTTTCAGTTTATGAAAAATAAATATTTTCAGTTTATGAAGCAATTCTGTATCCTTCCACCACGCTGACGAAGAATTCTACGAAACAGTAGTCAATATCCGGAATCCCTGTTCAATGTTGGACCTCATATTTGCTGAATACACAAAGCTTCACAGCTTGTCTTTCATCGTACAAAGTCCAGTACCTCGCTTCAGTTAAAGATTTCCAGAGACTTTGAGACTAAAGATTTCATTATGTACTTGTTATGGTTTGAAGGAATTCCATAAAGATTGTCTATTGCGTATGTACATGGTCATCGTGTTGCCTAGACATTGCTGACATTCTCTTTGCAACACTGGGATTTGTTTGGTTACTTCTTGTCGTTCCAGATGCAGGCAGCCTTTGAGGAGGACGGCTACGGTTTCTCTGAACCGGCTCAGGTTCTGACCGACACGGGGCAGAGGCGGCAGGAGAGGGGAGCCAAGGAGGAGGTCAGCTCTGGAGACGCGAGCTCACGAGGTAAGGAGTATACCCAATCTCAGGCTTGCAGTCAAAAAGGTGTGGCACAAAAGGAAAAGGGACTGGGGTGGGAGGAGGAGGAGAAGATGGGGGAAAGCAAACGTCAGACACTCTTTTTAATTAGGGAATCCTTGTCATGAGCAGCTGAGAAGGAAAATGGAATAGACCATGAAATAACAACAACAACAACTTTTATTTATACCCCGCCCTCCCCCGGAGAGTTACATCCCCGCCCCCGGTCACCCTCTTTGGTTGTCAATTTTTTTCAGCGCTCACTATGATTTACATTTTTTTATTTGTATGCTGCTTTCCCACTTAAAACAAAAAAACACTCAAAATGTCTTGTGAAAGAACAACAAAAATGTGAATCAATACACCATTAACAATAACAATCAAATGGGGGGAATTGTTTCGAAACATAGCAATCCAACGTAGAATTTGCTTTATTTGTTTATTTATAATTAATTTCATTCAGCAAAATTTATATTCCGCTTAATTGTTGTGAAACCTCTAAGCGGCTTACAAGGAACATTAGAAGCATCAATAAACATCAATGGATAATGTTTACTGAATATTTTAAGAACCAGTATAGACAAAGACATAGCTTAGCAGGTTTTGAGTAAATCCAGTAGAGTTGAAATAGATGTGGATTAGGCGGAATAGTAGAAAAGCAAAGGAACCAAGAACCGGGGTAGAAGGGAAGTCATATGGTATATGTATATACCGTACTTTTCCATGTATAAGACTAGGTTTTTTACTAAAAAAAAAGTTAAAAAGGGGGGGGGTCAACCCAGCCGCATGGGCGGGGTATAAATAATAAAATGCTTACGATTCTTATTAATCACATCAACATTCTTTTAATAGTTTCAACAGACTACATGCAAGTGGGTGAGTGCGACGGGAAAAACCATCCCCAGGAAAGCCGTGACAACATGGAACCATCCGTCGCCCGGGTTTGTAAAGAGGGAAAAACCTCGGAGGGTCAGGGCGAACCAAAGAGGCCACCGGCGAGCTGGCCGAGGAATCGGGTGGGGGAATCTGTTCCCTGCGGGACAAGTGAGATCTCTCTTGATCAAACCCCACTGCAGCAGCAGCCTCCAGGCCCAGACGGTGGATCTGGCGAAAGCTTCAATTCAGAGCTCGTGAAGTACGAAGCGGTTGAAATCCAGGAGTCTGCCTACCCGTGCGAGGACGGGACGCAACTCAGTTGCAAGGAGGGTTTCCGGAAACACAGCCCGCACTTCCGCGGGAAGCCGTACCAGTGCGGTTATTGCGGAAAGGCCTTCAGCCGCCGGTCGCACCTGGTGACGCACGAGAGGACCCACACGGGAGAGAAACCCTATGCCTGCTCCTTCTGCGGCAAGAGCTTCATCCAAAGCTCCCACCTCATCCTCCATGAGAGGACCCACACCGGCGAGAAGCCCTATCGGTGTTGCGCCTGTGGAAAGAGCTTCAGCAGCACCTCCAACCTCCTGGCCCACGGCAGGACCCACACGGGCGAGAAGCCCTACAAGTGCACTGTCTGCGAGAAGGGCTTCATCAGCAAGTCGCACCTGGTCCGTCACCGCAGGAACCACGCTGGGGACAGGCCGCCCACAGAACAATCCTGCTCCGGGAAAGCCTTCTGCTTGGCCTAGTTTCTTACGAGACCAAGAAAGGGAGACTACTTCGGAGTAAAGCCATAGCAGAAAGCCCACAAAGAAGGTGTGGGGCGGGGCAGAGAGAGACATTTTTATTTTGGTCCAGATTTGGCTGCTTTGGAAGGTGTTCCAGGTATACCAAGAAAAAAGCACACCAAGAACTCAGGCCAATGTAAATTTCAACAGTGGGAGTGGTCCCTACTCACAAATCAATAGTCAATAGCAACAAAAACTAATCAATTCAAAAGTATGTATTCTGATAAGGGTTACAAACTCAAATAGAGATTACCAACTCTAACAGAGATTACAAATTTAAACCCATAAAAAGGTAAAGGTAAAGGTACCCCTGCCCGTACAGGCCAGTCTTGCCAGACTCTAGGGTTGTGCGCTCATCTCACTCTATAGGCCGGGAGCCAGCGCTGTCCGCAGACACTTCCGGGTCACGTGGCCAGCGTGACAAGCTGCATCTGGCAAGCCAGCGCAGCACACGGAACGCCGTTTACCTTCCCGCTGGTAAGCGGTCCCTATTTATCTACTTGCACCCGGGGGTGCTTTCAAACTGCTAGGTTGGCAGGCGCTGGGACCGAACGACGGGAGCGCACCCCGCCGCGGGGATTCGAACCACCGACCATGCGATCGGCAAGTCCTAGGCACTGAGGTTTTACCCACAGCGCCATAATTCATTACAGAATGAGAGATAAGAGTTTATGAGTAGAGATAAGTTCATGTTAGTCCTGATTCGTCGTGGAGGTCCCAGCCTCAATCATTGAGCAGAAGTCAGAAGTCAATTATGGATTAGAAACCAGGGCAGGGCTGTTTGAGTTTGTAATCCTTGTCAGAATACATACTTTTGAATGGATTAGTTTTTGTTGCTATTGACTATTGATTTGAGAGTAGGGACCACTCCCACTGTTGAAACTTACATTGGCCTGAGTTCTTGGTGTTCTTTTTTCTTGGTATATTTAATAACTGGAAAAAATTGTAGCCCGGGAGCGGCAAAACCTGTGGCTCTCCAACTCCTCTTATCATTCCTGATTAGAATAATTTTATTACTTATATGCTGCCCATCTCACTGGGTTGCCCCAGCCACTCTGAGCAGCTGCCGGGGAAATATAAAAACACAATAAAACTTGTTTTGTTAAAAACTTCCCAATACTGAGCTGCTTTCAGATGTCTACGTATGGTCATATAATATTGTTTATCTCCTTGACATCTGGTGGGGGGGCGTTCCACAGGGCGGGTGTCACCACTGAGAAGGCCCTGTGCCTGGTTCCCTGTAACCTCACTTCTTGCAGGGAGAGAACCGCCAAAAGGCCCTCGGAGCTGGACCTCAGTGTCTAGGCAGAATGATGGAAGTGGAGACAGGATCACAAGCAATATTAATTATAGCATGTGATTTCTTTAAAGAAATTGCATACTACCATTTATATTGTTTGCGATCCTGTCTCCTGGCATTGATTATTGATGAACTGGGGGTTGGGGAGCAGGTGGTGCTGTGGTCTAAACCACCAAGCCTCTTAGGCTTGCCGATCGGAAGGCTGGTGGTTCGAATCCCTGCAACAGGGTGAGTTCCCGTTGCTCTGTCCCAGTTCCTGCCAACCTAGCAGTTCAAAAGCTTGCCAGTGCAAGTAGATAAATAGGTACCACTGTGGCAGGAAGGTAAATGGCGTTTCCGTGCGCTCTGACCCTCGTCATGGTGTCCCATTGTGCCAGAAGCAGTTTAGTCATGCTGGCTACATGACCCGGAAAAGCCATCGGCGGACAAACGCCGCCTCCCTCAGCCTGAAAGTGAGATGAGTTCCGCAACCCCATACTCTAATTCGACTGGACTTACCAGTAACTGTCCAGGGGTCCTTTACCTTTTACCTTTATTGGTGAACCTACCGGTTAGAAATGCCTGTCCTTCTGGGAGCTGGACTTGAGGGAAGAACTTGAGGAAATGCATAGATCCTGGATCATTACTTGACGTGAAAATAATTGTTGGATCATTCTGTTCAAAGAGTGTGTGTATGTGTTTCTGTGTTTGTAGGAACAGAGGCAAAAATCCTTTGGATCATTCCTTTGATGAAATAAATTTCAAACCATTGCTTTACTTCCGTTGCACAGCATCCAACCATGTCTTGTTAGGTTTTGTTGTTGTTGTTTAGTCATTTAGTCGTGTCTGACTCTTCGTGACCCCATGGACCAGAGCACGCCAGGCACTCCTGTCCTCCACTGCCTCCCGCAGTTTGATCAAACTCATGCTGGTAGCTTTGAGAACACTGTCCAACCATCTCATCCTCTGTCGTCCCCTTCTCCTTGTGCCCTCCATCTTTCCCAACATCAGGGTCTTTCCCAGGGAGTCTTTTCTTCTCATGAGGTGGCCAAAGTCTTGGAGCCTCAGCTTCAGGATCTGTCCTTCCAGTGAGCACTCAGGGCTGATTTCCTTCAGAATGGAGAGGTTTGATCTTCTTGCAGTCCATGGGACTCTCAAGAGTCTCCTCCAGCACCAGAATTCAAAAGCATCAATTCTTCAGCGATCAGCCTTCTTGATGGTCCAGCTCTCACTTCCATACATCACTACTGGGAAAACCATGGCTTTTACTATACGGACCTTTGTTGGACCTTTGTTGTTAGGTTTTAGGTAAAGGTAAAGGTACCCCTGCCCGTACGGGCCAGTCGTGTCCGACTCTAGGGTTGTGCGCCCATCTCACTCAAGAGGCCGGGGGCCAGCGCTGTCCGGAGACACTTCCGGGTCACGTGGCCAGCGTGACAAGCTGCATCTGGCGAGCCAGCGCAGCACACGGAAACGCCGTTTACCTTCCCGCTAGTAAGCGGTCCCTATTTATCTACTTGCACCCAAAGGTGCTTTCGAACTGCTAGGTTGGCAGGCGCTGGGACCGAGCAACGGGAGCGCACCCCGCCGCGGGGATTTGAACCGCCGACCTTACGATCGGCAAGTCCTAGGTGCTGAGGTTTTACCCACAGCGCCACCCGCGTCCCCTGTTAGGTTTTACCTGCCTTAAATGTTAGCGACATTCGCACTCTGCACTAGCCGGGACTCTGTAGGCCTAATAATAATAATAATAGTAATAAATTTATTACTTATACCCTGCCCATCTGGCTTGGTTTCCCAGCCACTCTGGGCAGCTCACAGCATGTAAAACATTAGTCGTTAACAATTTTCCAATACAGGGTTGTCTTCAGATGTCTTCCAAAAGTCAGATAGTTGTATTTAGCTGTTGTATGCCTGTAAGGAAGTTCCCTTTAATAATAAACACAACGGAGTATGAGTCTTTCTGCTTGGACCTAACACGTGTACCAAAATGCCATCTTTGAAAGTCTTCATTGGGCCTGAGGTGGGGAACCTGTTCAAGACCAGTTCTCAAGTTCTTTCTATAATATTCCAACACACACTCCTTGTCAGCCACGCTCCATCATCTCAAGTGCTTTTTCCTGGCTGCAGGATGTCCTTGGTTGCTTGGGGTGGATAAAGAGGGGTTTGGGTGGGTGCAAACCCTTGACTCTATAGTCCCCTGCTGGGACACGGCCCTCAGAAAGTTCTCCACAAGAGAATGCGGCCCTGGTCTTAATCCTTACGATGGGCAGCTGTTCCCTGAAGAAAGCTCTACGGTTGCAAAAAACACCAGCGGTTGGTGGTGTTCCCTCATAGTAAAAACCCCCCCAGAATTTCCGCATATTTTTTACATAAACATTCAAATGGTCAATAATAAAGTCTAGGAACTTTAAGGTTTGCCACACTTCTGGAACATGGAAAAAAACAAAACAACGGTCCAAGTGGAATTTAACAATTGCTACGCTAATTAAATAAAGGGACGCGGGTGGCGCTGTGGGTAAAACCTCAGTGCCTAGGGCTTGCCGATCGCATGGTCGGCAGTTCGAATCCCCGCGGCGGGGTGAGCTCCCGTCTTTCGGTCCCAGCTCCTGCCCACCTAGCAGTTGGAAAGCACCCCCAGGTGCAAGTAGATAAATAGGTACCGCTTACTAGCGGGAAGGTAAATGGCGTTTCCGTGTGCTGCGCTGGTGCTGGCTCGCCAGAGCAGCTTCGTCACACTGGCCACGTGACCCAGAAGTGTCTCCGGACAGCGCTGGCTCCCGGCCTCTTAAGTGAGATGAGCGCACAACCCTAGAGTCGGACACGACTGGCCCGTACAGGCAGGGGTCCCTTTACCTTACCTTTACCCTAATTAAATAGATTTGAAATATGTATCCAAGGGAATATAAACTCCATTAAAAGGTGTGTTTTTTTTAAAAAAAGAGGAATTGGACTGTGAGCTGTGTTGATTTATGACTGTGTGGAACTGCATGATCTTTCGCTTTCTTTGACTTATGGCTACTGTGTGGAGAGAGTGATTGGCTTGTTTTGTTCTTATTAGTACTTTGTGCTTTTGTTCTGAATTTTTATGCCGTGAAGCGTCCCGAGATCTTCAGATGAAGAGCGGTATGCAAAATAATTACCGTATTTTTCGCCCTATAGGGCGCACCGGCCCATAGGGCGCACTTATTTTTTTGGGGGGGGGGGGAATAAAGAAAAACATTTTTATTTCCCCCCTGCAAGCTCCCGGAGCGATGGCAAGGTTGCGCTCAACCTCGCCATCGCTTCAGGAGCTTGCTGGGCTGGGGGCGGGGGAAGCCCAAGCTTCCCCCGATCCCAGCCCCCAGAACGGGTCCAGGAGCGATGGCGAGGTTGTGCTCAACCTCGCCATCGCTCCCAGAGCTTGCTGCTATATGAAGCCTGGGGAGCGCGGCGCTGTAGCCCGCTGCGCACCCTGGGCTTCGGGCAGCTATCCGCAAGCCTGCGGCGCCCGGCAGGAACTCCCACTGGGCTCTGCAGGCTTGCGGATAGCTGCCCTAAGCCCGGGGTGCACAGTGCCGCGCTCGCCGGCTCCGCAGGCTTGCAGATAGCTTCCTGAAGCCTGGAGATCAAGAGGGGTCGGTGTGCACCAACCCCTCTCGCTCTCCAGGCTTCAGCGAAAGCCTGCATTTCCCCCATAGGACGCACACACATTTCCCCTTCATTTTTGGAGGGGAAAAAGTTTGTCCTATAGGGCGAAAAATACGGTAAGTAAATAAATAGTAATTGGGGAGCCACCACCGAGAAGGCCTTGTCATGGTTGAATGCCGACCAGGCACCACCAAAAGATCATAGGTCCCGAGATGGTTGATATTAGGAGTGCCGCTCTATTAGGAATTT